AGATATTTTCCTACACGTTAACATTTAAGTACATGCCTTTTCGTGTGGACCTGACTGCCCGACATAGAGTGCGTAACTTACCTATAGGAAGTAGCATCTACTTATATTGATCTAGGGCGTATAGGGTCAGCATTTCCAAATTCATGTTCGAGCACCGTATCGTTCTTTTTTATCCAATTGGGAATCTTTGGTATTTATTATTATCTACCTACTAGCATTCTTGGAAACAGTCTACTAATAGTAAGTATAATATTATTATACGAGCATGTTATGAAGCTTATTTTTCACGAGGTTGATGTTTGCGAAGCGAGCGAGCTTGCGAGCGAGTGGAGCAAGAAAACTGAGTGAATAAGAGTCATAACATGCGAGTGTAATACTATACTTTATCTACGACCATTACATTCATTAGGTTAAAATTTTATTAGCATTTACATTACAATAAATAAGTAAAAATAACTGAAAAGTAAGCAGGATTTAATTCTAAAGGAAAGATTATCCATTATTTGCCTGTGGTATATTGGAGGTAAGTATATGGAATAAATAGGCAATGGGTTAATATTCTTTAATGGCTACACGACCACAACGAGTTACTAATCTGCTTTCTCTGGTATTTCCATAATATTGATCATTGCCTTTTCCAACATATTCATCACTATCATCTTCTTTTGTTACAAAAGAGTCATTAAAAGGAAGATAATTGGAAGTCGATGATTGAGTATCTTGCTCAAAACCATCTTGTATCTCACTTGTGTTTTTGTGATCCAATTTTTGATTTATATTAAGTGGTTTTAGGAATCTTCGATTTCTTCTGTACACAGCGTCGTTCAGATTAACCAAATAATCATTGGGTCCAGATTCTTGAATCACTGTTGCAGGTTTCCAGTGTCTCATTCCTTGTTGCATCAAAATTTTTTGTCTAGGACACAACTTTGAAAGTTTTTTAGATTTTTTGTCATAGTGTACTTTTTGTTTATGTTTGCACTTTAATGTTTGTTTAACCTTTTTTGCTGAATATTTTGGAATCAAAATACTCTTGGCAACGAGCAATGTTGATCTTAATCGTTTTCCCATTAACAAAATACTGGGAGATGGAAAATCTTGCTTCGGAGTAATGTTATAATTTAACACCGCGAGAAACGGATCAGTGCCTTCTTCAAATGCTTTGGTAAGTAAACCCTTAACAGATTTTTCAGCACGGCCTGATGATGGGCAATGGGCCCGAAATCTATCCCTATTAGCCATTAAAGAATATTAACACATTTGCCTATTTATTCCATATACCTACCTACTTAGTACTTACCTCCGAAAGATTTCTTCTTAACGTCGAATTTTGGCGGTGTAACTTTTGTGGTAGATCTTGAAGAATTAACTGTCATTGTACCGTAATTAACAAATGTTATACAATTTGGTTGCAAGTTGGTTTGAGCATGGGTCTCAAAATGTGCATTTGCATTTAATACGCTAGTACTCCAAGACGTTCCGGATGATGATGTTGCGGGCTGTGGAGCGATATTGGAAGTAGAAAACACAGAATTTTTTTTAGCGGTATTCAACTTATTTGTCAAGGACGTATCAACGTATCGTTCAGCTACGGCTGTAGACTTCCAGCCACCGTGATATCGCTCTAGAAAATTCGTTATAATATCAAAGAGTACCCATAGTTTACTCTTTGATAATATAATAAAAATGTATAAAAAAGATTTTAAAAATGTCTAACTATACTTGGGATTTGGAGGAACATAGGTACATAAATACATATACAGGGTGACAATTTGAAAACTTACCACCCCCCATATCTTAGTAAATAAACGAGATATTTAAAAAAATCAAAATTCGTTTCGGTAATTCGGAGGGGGAATCACAATGACATAGTTGGCGACGCACCCCCTCACACCCCCTGCGCCCCAGCAACCCCAACTTTTAAATCTTAAATAGTGACCCCCCATGTGTGATACGTCGTTGGAAAGCTCTGAAAAAATGCTTTCCAACCATACCAAATAGCATTACATTTGGGTTAGTAATTATCGTACAAATCAAAAAATAAACTAATATGATACATTTGAAAACTGTCGTATTTAAAACGCAACCGGCGAACATTAGACGAACTAAGACAGAGAATAATTCAAGAATGTCGAAATATTGCAAAATCAACATTTGAAAAAGTTCGACAAAAGTTTGAGAATAAATTATAACTGGCGATCAAAAATGAGTTGCTGTCGACTCGGCTTTGGAAGTTCAAGTTAAATACGATTTTTCATGTAAACAAAAATTTCAAAGAGCGACTCCATAGCAACTCATTTTTGATCGCATAGTAATACTGTCTTACCAATAACGGAAAACATTTTCAACATTTATTAAAATAAACGCCAACTTTAGAAAATGTATCATATTAGTTTATTTTTTGATTTGCACGATAATTACTAACCTAAATGTAATGCTATTTGGTATGGTTGGAAAGCATTTTTTCAGAGCTTTCCAAGACGTATCACACATGGGGGGTCACTATTTAAGATTTAAAAGTTGGGGTGGCTGGGGCGCAGGGGGTTGGAGGGGGTGCGTCGCCAACTATGTCATTGTGATTCCCCCTGCGAATTACCGAAACGGATTTTGATTTTTTTAAATATCTCGTTTATTTACTAAGATATGGGGGGTGGTAAGTTTTCAAATTGTCACCCTGTATACAGACAAACATAGCAATCGCTAAAGGCTCGTTTCATTCACCTAATAAGTAGAAATTGCGTAGAAAATACATCGTATCGATGTAGAAAGCTCGCATTTTTGCCCCATAAAATTAAGGATTTTAGATAATCGCGATAAAAATAATTACTTATAACTGACCTTCATAGGGGTTGCCGGTTGGACGACGGAGCGAGAACTGATAATAATTTCGTTTCGTCGATGTCTTTCAACTTGAAAGAATTTCCGAAGCGCTAATCAATTTAGTGAAGAATTTCTGGTTCTTGGTCACCGAAATCATACATTTGATGTTTTTCCCAAACGACTAAAAATTTCAGTAGGGCGGGCAATCTAAATATGGTAGTGCACGTGGCAAAATTTAACATGCTTCGGTAGTCGCACGTAGGTAACAGCTATCATACAATGTTTTAATTGACAAAACAATTCACAAAATAATACAGGCGGTGGACGGGGAAGGAGACCCTTTATTACTATGGGGATTTACGATAATTCAACCGGTTTAACCGGGTTGGTAGAAATCACCATAGAAACAATTGTCTCAATAATTGTAACCATAGCAAAATCTACCAACCCGGTTAAACCGGTTGAATTATCGTAAATCCCCTATAGTGTATAAGTGTAAGTCAATTTCAGGATTGTTAGTTTCTATAAAAAGTAGTTCAAAACCGCTTATGTACCGCAGAAATGGCCCAAGACGGACAGGACGAACAGCCAAAACACACAATAGTGGAGTTTTAATTTCTATGTAAATGCATAAAAATTATTAAAAACAATTTATAATAGTTAGTGATTAATATACAAATTATATTCCAGCATAATACTTCAGATACTTACATCTTTTCCTGATTCACACCACACGGTTCTATTATTGTTATGTTAAATGTTACACAGTGTTTCTTGAATGTAGAATAGTACCTATCTATATACGTCCTAACCTAAGTACCTACCTAGAACGAATATATCGCGTATTACTGATAACTGTTGATTGCGTGCTTATTCTACTATCGCACAGCACGAAGTGCATGTAGTATTTTTAGCATGCATGAAAGATTAATCTAGATCGTAAGCTTTATTATTTCATTAGTATTATAACGATAGGTATGGATTATTCTGGTACCTGCTCCAAAGATATGCTATAATGGCTATAATATTCGCCTAGGCGACGTCAACAATTACGAGGTCAATATCGTATAAATATATCGTAGATATCAGATATGTGTGCACATTACAGGTTCACCTTATTTGATCATAAGAAGATCATGATTATTGATTGATCACATTCTCAAAACTATTGGAATAAAAGTTAATTGTTTTGATGCAAACAAAACTGAATTCAAATTGGAAATCTTTCCGTTTTTGAACTATTAAGTAATATTGTACATTCTTTAATTTTAACGTTGTATTTATGTTTAATTAAAATCAAAAATGTACCCAATAGTTTCAATATTTTATTGTAGCAGATTCATCACGCCACCCCGCAAGGATAGCGCGTGGTAAGTATATGTTGGTCTTGGTAAGGTTAGTCGTACAGTGTGAGGTTACGAAACAAGAACATTTTTTATTGCAATACTGAATACAATGAGGTCAGTGTCATGTTATTGCTATTGAAATTTTTGCCATTGCTTACATCGATCGACTAACTGGGTAAATATGGAAATGGAAACCTAAATTAAATTTTCGTAAAAACGCAATTGTAATATTAAAAATGTTCCAATATGATAACCTTCGTTAAAATTCATTTGCGCTATGTGTTTATTTATTTTTGGTCCACCATATACTTACCTATACTATCTAACTTTTGCAAACGATATTTTCCTAAGGATAATCATTTAGACCTATTCCTCCATAATCTATTGCTATTATTTATTTATTGAACAGACCTTTTGCCAAAATACATACTTAGTTGGCTAACCCCAAAAATATTTTGAAAAATTTCCCTGATGATGGTGCGCGCGTGCGCTTTTGGTCCTATGGCATCTCTTTGAAAACTGAAATTTAGGTTATGGTGTACTAAACCTAGGCTGACATTGGATGAAATGCAAACGTCTATTGGAAAAATATAATTAGTTGGTAGTAGTACGAATTTAGGGCATAGATATGAGGCCCTGGTCTAGAGATAATAATAAATTGGAAGATATAGCACCACGCTCAGTTGGCCAGACATTCAATATTTACACTTCACCAAACCCAACCTACATCCCGTTTGGAACATGCGTGCTCGGATTCGTTTGGTGGGGCGCAGCCTTAGCCGCTACGCTACCCGCCTACCCGCTACCCGACCGGACTGGTTTTTCAATGTCACACTCACATTACAGAAAAGATCGAAACGAATGTTCAGTGTTTACAGTCCGAACTAGTTGTGTCTGTACATATCAATAGCGATTAAGTCATATAGTGATGCGCAATGTGATCTGCACTACTGGCTTGGTGTGCGAAATGTAGGTAGGTACGTATTTATTTACACGATCTTTGTTTATTTGTAGTTTGTAAGTCGATGACCGGAGCACCGTTTCCATTTCAGGCTCCGTGCTGCCCTCTCGCATAAAAAATGACAAGAGATTATAGACGCGCACTGAACGAGAGACCTCTTTAGTTATTTTCGCAAAGGCTACCATTACGAAGGAAGCTTTTATTTTAGAAATTCGAGGCGGACATATTTCATTGACGTCGGGGAGTTCAGTTACTTTATCGACATTTCGTTCACACTCAAGTAAAGGTTAACTGTCATGATATAATATACACAACCGTTTCTCGATGTACCTATATATAAAAAAAGTGAATTTGAATTAGCAAATCAGCTGTTCATTCTGTTTTAAATTATGAATAACGAAAATTGCGATTCAACGGGAAGGAGGGAGAGAGATGATAATATTACACTTGCACCTGAAAAAGTGCAATCTAGTGAATTGGAAATTGAAAAACAGAAGTTAGTTTTTCTAAGGTTATTTGAATACCAATTGTTTACGCTTTTTATTTTAGCCATTTAGGAGTAGAGGAATTAAATAAATTGACCAAAGTAAATAATGTGGATTTGTCGGATTTGGAAACGAATGCATTTATTGCAAATGGGGTCACGGAAGAGGCGAAAAAGGATTTACTTGAAAGTATCGTAGATGTGTTGGACGACGTAATGAAAAGTGGCATCGAAACGGATGACTTTACCGACATTGAAAAGCAAGTCGAGAGTGTTATTGAAGCATTGGAAAAAAATGATTGCGGTGACAGTATTGCTGTGGACATTGATGCTAACCTACCAGAGAGTTGCAACGATGAAATTACTACTAAAGAATCAGAGAGTGCTATTGGGTCTGAGGGTGTACAGATCAACAGTTTTGATTCTCTACAGGGTTTAACAAGTTGGTATGTTGCTACTTAAATGAGGGATTGTTTTCGTTGAAGTGTGTATTTCAATGTTTAGTGATGGGGAAGTTGTGCAAACTTCAGAGCAGCAAATTTCTACTGACGATCAGGACAAAGGTGCGCTTACCTGCGAGCAATCACAAACAACTGGAAAAGATGGACAAACTTTGGAACAATTGCAAATTGCTAATGATGACAAGATTTGCGAGAAAAATAATGGTGAAACAATTGCAAGTGACAAGAATATTGGCAATTGTTCAATGGATGATAAAACTAATGAAAGTCAACAAATATCTGAATGTGAAATAGCTGAGTAAGTAAAAAATTTATTTAATTTCCATTTGAAAATCATTGAAGTGTGCTTAAAGTTAATGGGTATAAGGTAAGTAATATCACATAAGATTGTATAATACTGACATATCTTTATTTAATGTAAGTAGTCGAAGTAGGCTATGAAAAATATCTCCAATGCTGCAGTCTCATGTATGTAACGACCACACCAATCATGTTTCCCATGCAGCTTATTTTGCTGTACTTTAAGCACATTTACCTATACAGGGTCCTGTAACAGTGTACTGGACTTTCCTAGCTCAAACCTGGTAAAAAATATTAACCTTTTGTCAATTGTTAATTATAACTTCTACAGAAATTGTTTTTGAATGTACAGGGTCTCACATTTTTACGGCGTCAATAAATATTTGATTTGTTTAAATAGAACACCCTGTATATTTTTACTTGTTTCCATGTCATTTGTTAACTTCTACACGGAAACCTATTCACTTCTTAGCGCATTTTCATAAAATTTTAAAAAAAAGCGCTATTGTGGTCACTTTGTCCATCTATTCATCTGTCCATGTCTACAGCTGTTCGGTTGCTGCTAGTTTTTTATCTTAAGAGTTATTGCTCTACTTTTTTCTCTATTTGGTTTGTTATGGTGTTGAGGCTTGCACCAAGGAAGGAATTTTTTTCTGTTGCTTACGAAAAAAGTGATTGTAAAAAATCAATTTTTTCATGTACCATAATTTGACACTAATTTTGTATTGTTGTCTTGCGTCTGCCAATTTGTCTGTCTCTGTTTGTCTGTCTGTATGCAGTTGTGCATGAGAACTTCTGGCTTTGCGCAATCCAATTTTTTTTTAATACTTACATGAAATGATGAAACTAATCCCAAATCAAATTAATTTGTTTTGCGCATGCGCAATCCGATCCGACTAAAAACGCGTAAAAAAATTGTTGCGCATGCCCGGATCTACATTCGTTAGTAGGATTCTTCTTATAAACTGTGATTAAAGTAACACGTGAAAAATGGGTTGCACATGTGCAACGCTAACTTTCTTATTTGTGACCGGATTTTTACGAAATTTTAACAGAAGTTGCATCTTACAAATGGGAAATGAATGCAAGTGGAAACGTGCTTTTTGTAAATCGTTTACGATTGCTTTTTAACTTGTTGATGAATCGTAGCTACCTTGATTTTAAATTTGAGAAATACATTCGATCAATAATGTTAATCTGAATAACACGCAACACCTTGATAATGAGAAACTTAGATTTAGTGGTACAGGGTGTTCACAAAGAAATGGTAATGGTATGGTTATGAAAGTACGTTAATTGATTACTTGTTTATACACTGGAGTAGGTTGTGATAATTAAAAAAAACAAAAGAATACCAGAAAGTAAACAAGTGTCACAAATTAATTATTTGTTGCAAGTGTACTTCCTATTTCGTAATAAAATAAGGTGAATTTGAAAAAAGAT